ATGTTTCTACTCTTGTAGGTTACAGACCTCTTGTCCCAAGCTACTTTCAGGATTTTCTCTTTGTCTCTGAGATTTACAAGTTTCACTATTATTTGTTGGGGTGTTGATCTATTTTTATTAATTTTTGAGGGGTATTCTCTCTGCCTGCTGGACTTGGATGCCTGTTTTCTTCCCTATATTAGGGAAGTTCTCCACTATAATTTGCTCCAATATACCTTCTGCCACACCCCCTTTCCTCTTCTTCTGGGATACCAAGTATTCTAATATTGTTTCACTTTATGGTGTCACTTATCTCTCGAATTCTCCCCTCATGATCCAGTAGTTGTTTATCTCTCTTTTTCTCAGCTTCTTATTCTCCATCATTTGTCTTCTCTATCACCAATTCTCTCTTCTGCCTCATTTATCCTAGGAGTTAGAGACTCCATTTTTAATTGCATCTCATTAATAGCCTGTTTGATTTTGACTTGGTTAGATTTTAGTTCTTTTATTTCTCCAGAAAGGGATTCTCTAGTGTCTTCTATGCTTTTTTCAGGTCTATCTAGTATCTTTATAATCATTCTGAATTCTGTTTCCAACATCTTACTTATTTCCATACTGATTAGGTCCCTGGCAGTCAGTACTGCCTCTTGTTCTCTTTTTTTGTGGTGAGTTTTTCCTTCTTGTCATTCTGTCCAGAGAAGAATAGATGAACGAGAGAGAATAAAATACTAAAATGGCAACAATGACCTCAGGGAAATATACACTAAACAAATCAGAAGATATGGGTAACCAAAAAAAATTTTTTTGAAGAAAAAAAACAATATAAGCAGACAGGTGAACAGAACAGAGCAATACACTGGATCCTGTGTGTATTTTGGTCTGTTTGTTAGAAAACTAGATCCTCCCCCCCCAAAAAAAGAAAACTAGATCTCAAAATTATAAAGGAAGAAAAACCTATATATGTATAAAAATAAAATTAAATACAATGAAAGGATAGAATATAACTGTAAAGATGAGTATTAAAAAAGACTTTAACAAAACAACAAAAAAAGGAACAAAAAAAAAAGGAAAAAGAGAATATGATCAGACAAGTGAATAGAACAGAGCCATACACTAGATTTTGGCCGTATTTTGGTCTGTTAGAAGAAACTGCATCCCAAAATTGTAAAGAAAGAATCAATCTATCTATCTATCTATCTATCTATCTATCTATCTATCTATCATCTATCTAAAATTAAATACAATGAAGGAATAGAATATAACTGTAAAAATGAAAATTAAAAAAGATTAAAAAAAGAGTTGATAAAATGAGAAATTGGTTGCAAAAGAAAAGAGAAAATAATTAAGAAGAAATTAAAGATGAAAGGCTAAAGAATCATGGGGAAAAAGCCATGAATTCTACGTGCTGTGTTCTCCTAGCTCTGGAGTTTTGCAGTTCTCATTGATTGGTAAACTTGGGTCTTGGCTGGATGTTCTTGCTGATCTTCTGTGGGAGGGGCCTGTTGCTTTGATTTTCAAGTGTATTTGCCCTGAGTGGAATTGCACCACCCTTGTCAGGGGGCCAGGCTAAGTATTCTCCTCTGGTTTGCTCTATGTGGCTTTTGTTCCCTGAAGGCTTTCCTTGCTGCTTTAGAAGATGAGAATGAAAATGGTGGCCTCCCAATTTCCAGCCCTGGAGCTGGTTTCCCACCTCCAATGCCTGGGAACTCTGGTGCATTCAGGCACCCCCAGTCTTCCTGTGACCCCGAGGATCCTGAGACCACACTGTCCCACCTAGGGTTCCACCCCCACTTAGTCACCTGAGTGATGTCCCTCACTGGAGCAGACTTCTAAAAGTTCTGATTTTTTGCTGCACTGCTAAAGCACTTCCTGGTAGCTGGCTGATGGAGGCTCCCTCCCCCAGTGGTTTATCTTCCCATATATCACCTTGGATTCACTTCTCTGCACCTCCTACCTTGCAGAAAGTGGTTGCTTTTCTATTTGTAGAGTTGCAGCTATTTTTTTCTCAGATCTCTGGTTGAGTTCACAGGTGTTCAGAATGATTTGATAGCTATCTAGCTGAATTCCTGGGACCAGATGAAACTAAGGTCTCCTACTCCTCTGCCATCTTGGACTCCCTCCAATGGATAGATTTAACAAGTAGAATATGGGATTAGAGAACTTAAAAATGGGGAAACAAAATAACAAAACTAAAGCACAGAGAGACAAAAATACAGAAAAGAGTAAGAAACATGTGGGACACTGCTGAGTGAAATAAATCAATCAGAGAAAGACAATTATCATATGGTTTCACTCATATGTGGAACATAAGAAATAGTGCAGAGGACCACAGGGGAAGGGAGGGGAAACTGAAGAGGAAGAAATCAGAGAGGGAGACAAACCATGAGAGACTCTGGACTCCAGGAAACAAACTGACGGTTACAGAAGGGAGGGGGATGGAGGGATGGGGTAACCAGGTGATGGGCATTAAGGAGGGCATGTGTGGTGCTGAGCACTGGGTGTTATATGCAACTGATGAATTATTGAACACTACATCTTAAACTACTGATGTACTATATGTTGGCTAATTGAATCTAAAATTAAAAAAAAATCTACAATTCTGGTTGGGAAGCCTAGATACCCCATAGGAAGCAGAGGATCATTTATTTCCAAGGTTGAATCACAAAAAGCATAGCCATCTATCGGAGAAGATCTCTAGACCAGAAGTTGCAAATTGGTGGTTTGCAAATGTGATTTGTTTGATCCATACAGTGTTTATAACTTTTAAAATTATTTGCAAAGATTTGAAATTTGGGAGATGTCACATAAAACTCCAGATTTGTTTATTATTTTATGAAATCAGAAGATATGAGAACATTGGTCTCAAATTCTCACATGGCCACAATCAGCTGAGCAGTGATTGTCCTTGTAAATGCTTGACCATTCCCCCAAATTTCCATTACTTTCTGCCCTCTCCCTGAAAAAGGGTCCAATGTCAGTTGCCATTAATCAACTCACTTGCACCTTTGTTTTACATATAGAATTAAGAGCTCCTAGTAGAATTAAGAGGAAAGTGACATAGTTCTTGTTATCAAAACTTAACAAAAATAAAAAAGACTGAAAGGACTGGTTTCAAAACCGGGGGAGTTTACATTTCCTTATAGAAATTAAGACTATTTCTACATCTTTATTATGCATACAAAGTATACCTTTGTTGAAGAAATAAAACTTCAGGTATTAACATTATGCAATTTGTTATAAAGAACTATAATTGATATATAAAAAAGATGTACAATAAAAGTCTTAATTAGCATTAAAACACAGACTGAAAGTTCAACAGGTTTTGTGTTTAAATGAATACACTAAGTGTTGCTGCTGGGAAATGAAATTATATATTAAGCAACAAACCTTTCCAGGCACCAGAAGATTTTATAGATGCCAAATTTATAAAAATTGTCTATTGTGGAATAAATTATATGCTGAACTACAAGTATTTTTTAAGATTTTATTTACTTATTTGACAGAAAGAGAGAGAGCACAAGCAGGGGGAGCAGAAGAGGGAGAAGCAGGCTCCTTGTGGAGCAGGGAGCCCGGTGCAGGGCTCAATCCCAGGACCCTGGGATCATGACCTGAACCAAAGGCAAATGCTTCACCAACTGAGCCACCCAGGTGCTCCAAACTTCAAGTATTTTTATCTGTGTTGAATAAATGACTGAGGCCATATATAGGGCATATTATATGGAAAGCTGGATTTCTTGTGGCATTTTCTTATAGCTTATGAGAGCACAGATATAAAAAATACTGTAGTTATATATATTTTTTCAGGATTTCAATGAGAATTTTGATGTAAATGAGGAAATCTTTGGCTGTTGTCCATTATAAGAAAATCCAAAAATAGTTTATTTGGGTATATTGAGAAAAGTCCTAAGAAGTATAATATAAGCAGACCACAATTAGTACATGTGAATGTTAATGTCAGACTTAATGAAATGTATATCCCATGTTGCAAAGTTTTGTAAAGACACAAAATTTATGTTTGTTCACTGGTTGATTCACTAGGAATTATTTGCTTTGTGGTAAAAGGCTTAAATAGAGCATATTATAGAGACAGCAGCTGCCACCATGAGCTGGAGACCTCCTACTGAGTTGAACAACAGCTCAAAAGTTGGGTGAAATGGGTGAACAGTATTCTGTTCAGCTTCTCTTTATGAACCTAGGTGCCTGAGTTAGGGCAAGGCGCTCACCCCAACATAAAACCCACTGTACAAAGAGTAAATCCGTGTCTGGAAAGAAAGCAACTCTCTTCCTTTAAGATACAACCTAAATAACATCATTCCTTATTCTCTCACCATTTCTCTTACCCACACCCCTATTAAAACTAATCCATACTTAAATTCTATACTCAACATGGGAATTCCAAATACAAAACCTGACATTAATAACTTGGTGCAGAAGTAAAGGAGGCAGGTTTCTGTTTTGCAAATCAAAATGGAAATATTTTTTAAAAGGAAGTTGTAATAATTAATTATTGCTATTTTTAATTTGAGGTTTTTATGTTTTTAACTTAGAATATCTCTACAATGATTTTTACCTTATCTCATATGCTCACCCCATAATAATTGTGTTTTATTTTTGACAGTTTTTTTTACAACTAGCCTGATTTATTTATTTAAGATACCACTCCTATAGGCATTTGAATTTGTGACATCTGCATTAGATAATATTTTTGCTATTCCTCCCTTTGTCTCTGTTGTCTACCCTCTAAGAGAAGGAAAAGTCTAACAATTTATTGTCAGTCCAGAAGACTGTGAGTCATTGAAAGAAGAGACCACTTTGTGTTCACTCCTGTGTAGCCAGCATAAACTACAGAAGTTATTCAGTGAGTGTTTACTAGATGGACGGATAAATATACTGCAGTTGAAGACAGAACACATATCCAGAACTCTTTTGGGAGGGAAGCTGTATTTCAATCTCATGTAAGTTCAGTATTAAGGATAATTATTTTCTTTTCTCTTCAACTTCTTGGTCCTTTTCTGCCTTAGATGCCTATACAACAGCTGAAGTGGTTTATTCTTGGACTCTTGGGAAGAACAAATCTGTGGAAGTAGCACAGGATGGCTCCCGCCTGAATCAGTATGACCTGCTGGGCCATGTTGTTGGGACAGAGATAATCCGGTCTAGTACAGGTATTTATTTATTTTATTTAATAAGCATTTTGTAACCTGAACCATATACCCGTCTTATACCTGTGCTTATAAAAACGTGTTATCCTCAAAATAGTCTTGTGATATAGGTACAATTATAAGGAAACTGAGACATAGAAATATTCAGTTATTTGCCCCATGTTACATTATATAATATCAGAGCCAAGATCTGAACTCAGACAGATTGACTCCCAAGCCAATGCTTTTAACTATGATGCCCTGCTGTCTAAATGGGTTAGAAGGTCAAGGACATTATGGCTGGACTGTGGTAGAAGAGAAGGCAGAGGGAAGCCATGATGGTGGGAGAACTGAACGCTGATCCTAAAGGTTTCATGAAGACATTTGCTCAACTCTGCCAATGCTGAAGTGACAAATTAATAACCCAGGAGAGTCCAGGTACAGAGCCAGGAGGTCCAAGGATGAGCCATGAAATTGTTTTTTTAAGTGAGTCGCCCATCTCAAAAACAAGTCTGTCTGGCAAACCTTGCCAGGTCCTCTCAATAGCTTAATCCTTGGATTGATAATTGGAACCTAGAGTTTTGTAGTCTTGGGTCCTATTTAGAGACTGACCAGTTACAGGGTCCTAAGGAAGGAGGCACCCTGGCTCTGAACTAACCCTAGGGTATTTGGCAAAATGGAGTATATCTTGGGGGCCCACATAGCTTACGGTATTTTTTGCTGTTAAGGGCAGGAACTTTCAACACTTGTCTTGGTGAAAGATCTGAATCCACAATTATAAATGAATTAGGGTACTCTTGTTCTTTTATTTGATTATCTGGACACTGTTCCCACTTCTTGTGATGTTATAATATATCATCTTGTCTGTGCCCTGTTTTCCCTCCATCCCGGGATCAGGGGAGGGTTCCTAAATAAAGAAGCATTTAAAATAGATTTCAGGGGCAACAGGATTTCGAGATTTGGAATTTGGTATGGGGAAAGGCTATTAAAAGGAAAGGCAATACTGAGGTGTCATTGTGAAAACATGATCTATCAGAGAAGCTGCAACTGGTTCAGAGTAAGAAGTGAAAGGTAGAGAGAGTATGGGGCCACAGGGGTGTGGGCTGCTCTCCTCTGAGAGAATTCTGGGGTTTGGCCCATGGAGTTGGTAGTGGGTGGACCAGGCTGAGCAGCTGGGCAGGCACTAATGTACATAGCTGGCCCAAGTCCAAGAGTTCTCCCCCTCCAGTGGTGTGAGCTAGCTGTTGGAGCCAAGTGCCCAGTTTTAGAGAGAGTGTACAGGTGGGTGCCGGAGGTGGGTGTGCCCAGGCCACCTGGACCTCATTACTTTGCTCCAAGGAGCATTCCATGTCTTCATGGTGGGTTATTGTGCTCCTGAAGCTCAGATTCTGGCTATGCCTCCTATCATCTGGAAGCTCTGAAAGTGTGGTCTGGGGCCAGTTGCCCAACCTCCCCACCTTGGTTTGCTCACAGTGAATCTATATCATGGTGTAAGTATTGCCCACTGGTTGCAGACCTACTGCTAGGTTTGCATGCCCTGATCCCTGGACTGGGCACCGGCCTTGTTAGGGTACATAAACCCACTTCCTGGGGCCCCATGAAAGGGTAGGGCCCAGGGTACCTCAGCTGGACTTGGTGTGTGTATATGGGGTTAGTCTTCCCCACCCGGATAGTGGTTCTGCTCTCCCCAAACGGGGAGGGAGCAGGGCCTTCAGCACCCACATGTGCATACTGCATTCTTTCTGTCTTATGGTACCCCTTAACGTTTTTGAGCAAAAGCCTCTGTTCTGCTACTGGGTGCATCTGCATTGTGCTGCCTTTGCAGCTGGGGCCAGGACCTCCCTTCTGTGATCACATACCTGAAATACATGCCCGTTCTCCCTCCCATGTGAGCTGTGGGCAAAGAGGACGCAGGATCCTAGAGGAGGTCGTGTGTGTGCCTGCAGGTGGCAAGGCTCGCTCAGAGCAGCACAGAGGGTCCCTAGAGGCCCAAGGTACACTGCCCCACACCCAGGATGTCTACCCTGGGGGAGGGAGAGAATTCCCCGCTGCATCCGTTGGCTCTCCTCACTTCCCAGTCCTTCCTTAGCACTGCTCACCTGGCATCAATTTTTGAGATCCATCATTAGATATCCAAGCAGCCCCAGCTCCGATTTCATTTGGTTAAACCACTGTTTGTTTAGTCTTTATCACACAGGCAATGCACATCCATTATAGGAAAAATAGAATACACAGAAGAGCAAAATATGGAAATTAAAATATTCTTTAATCCCACCATTAACTGATTATTGTACATTTTGGTGTATAATCTTTAAGAAGTTTCCTTTGCATTTTTTACATAAATACCATTGATACTGTTTTTAATTTAATTATTTAAGCATATTTTCTTATTACCAAATATATAAAATCCAAATAAAATGTACACACAAGTTAGTAATATTTTTATTGAGATATACTTGGTATTATATTACTTTCAGGTATACAACATAATGATTCAATATTTTTATATATAACAAAATGATTATCCCAGTAACTGGGGTTACCATCTGTCAACATATATAGTTATAATTTTTTTCTTGAGAACTTTTAAGATCTATTCTCAGCAACTTTCAAATATACAATACAGTTTTATTAACTATAGTCACCATGCTGTACAATGCATACCCATGACTTATTTATTTTATGATAGAAGTTTGTATCTTTTGACCACCTTCACCCATTTCACCCACTGCCCCTCCCATCCTCCTGGCAACCACCAATCTGTTCTGTGTACCTATGAACTTGGTTTGTTTGCTTGTTTGTTTTTTGTTCTTTTTTTAAAATTCCATATATAAGTGAGATCATACAATATTGGTGTTCCTCTGACTTATTTCATTTAGCATAATTCCCTCAAGGTCCATCCATGTTGTTGCAAATGGCAAGATTTCCTTCTTTTGATGGCTGAATAATATTCTACTGCCACTGCCTCTATGTGTATGTATATGCATATACATGTATATATGTGTATAAAATACACACACACATACATACATACATACATACATACATACATACATACATACATACATTCACAGCACGTTTTCTTTATCCATTCATCCATCAGTCAACACTTAGGTTGTTTCTACATCATCTTGACTATTGTAAAAATGCCACAGTTAACATGGAAGTGCATATATCTCTGAGTTAGTGTTTTCATTTTCTTTGGATAAATACCCAGAAGAGGCATTGTTGGATCATATGGTATTTCTATTTTTAATTTTTTGAGGAACCTCCATACTATTTTCCGTAGTGGTTGCACCAATTTGTATCCCACCAACCAAAGTGCACAAAGGTTCCCTTTGCTCCACATCCTCCAATACTTGTTGCTTCTTGTTAGTTAGTTATAAATAGTAATATTTAAACAATTATCATAGATATAATAAACATTAATTATTACTTGTTTTAGGTAGTTTAAATTTAAAAAGAAAATTAAGCACTCCTTCAAGGCCACAGAATTCTTGACAAAGATATGATAAGTTTTGTTATCACTGGGAAGTGTAGCATTTCACTGTGAAGCTCAATAAAATAATATCTTCATTTTAATGACCTCATATATGTAGATCATAGTCCATTTAACCAATTATTTGGTATTATTTTCTGTGTTTTAATGTTATAAACAACACTATGAAGACCTTTTTCTATATTACATTTTGTCCCTGTGTAATCATCTGCCTAGGATAGACAGAATGCTGAGAATGCTATTTCAGAAAGTAGACATATTTTTAAAAATTTTATTACATATTGACAAATTGCCATTTTACACGGTTGAACAATTCATGGTCCCATTATCAGTGTATTAGCATGCCAATTTCCCTTCACTATTGACAATGCAAATGTTACGGGTTGAATTATGTCCCCTCAAAAGATATGTTGAAATCCTGACTCACAGTACATCAGTAAGTGACCTTATTTGAAAATAGGGTCATTGTAGATATAATTAGATTATATCTCAAATTAGTCTAGAAAACATGATACAACGTACATCAGCAAAGAGGTTATTTAATGTATTAAATTCATTCACACCATTTGGTACTATGCAGCTGTAAGAAGGAATGAGGAAGTTCTTGATGTATCATTCAAAGGGGATATCTGCAGGATATATTGTTGAGTGTAAAAAAGCAAAGCACAGAACACTGAACACTTAGGGATATATACTGGTATAGAGATAATATTTCTAGAAGGATACACAAGAGGCTGCTAATTGTTTTTGTTGCTTTTTTTAAAAAAGAGTAGTGTAGAAATTACAACTTTTAAAAAAAGTTTTCATTTATTTTGACAGAGAGAGAGAGAACATGATCAGGGGGAAGGGCCAATGGAGAGAATCTCAAGCAGGTTCTGCTCTGAGCACAAGGCCCACACGGGGCTCTATTCCACGACCCTGAGATCATGACCTGAGCTGAAACCAGGAGTCAGATGCTTAACTGACTGAGCCACTGAGGCACCCCAAGAGGCTGTTAATTGGAGGAGGAGAAACGAGATGAGTGGTTTGAGGGCATCTATGGGAGGGAGACGTTTTGCTGTACACCCTTTGATATCCTTTGATTTAGGAACCATATTAATATTATTACCTCACAAATATGTGTATTGTTTTCATGTGTTTATAAATTATGGACATTATTTTCTGAATTCTAAATATGCTCCTCCATGTGGGGTCCAGCATATTAATGGAATGCTGGACCAGAGAAAGACCCACAATCCATGGATGCTCCGTTTTATATGAGTGGCTTTCTCTCTGAATGCTCTCTCTCAGTCCTTAGTAAGAAGTACAGGCATACCTTGGAGATGCTGACAGTTCAGTTTCAGACCACCAAAATAAAGGAAATACTGCAATAAAATGAGTCAAGTCAAGTGAATTTTTGGTTTCCCAGTGCATATAAAAGTTATGTTTACACTATACTGTAGTTTATTAACTGTATGATAGCATTGTGTTCAAAAATTTATATACCTTAAATTTAAAAATATCTTATTCCCCAAAAGTCCTAACC